CGCAGAGCACCGCACCGCAGCGCAGCGCGATGGCCGTGGCCGTGGGCAGACCGGCGGTGCGCGGGGCCGGGGGGCGGCGGGGGCAGCGCGGGTGCTGGGGTCTGGGGTCGGATCGCCCGGGCGCGGATCCCCCGAGCGCGGATCCCCCGAGCGCGGCGGCGGGCGCTGCGGGAGCTGCAGGGGCGCAGCGCCGGGGATGCCGTGCCAAGGGTTGTAGGGGTGCGGTGCCCTACGGGGGGCTGCGGGGCGCGATGCCGGAGGGCACGGCGGGCTCGCCGGGGCGCGCCGCCTCTGCTCCTTTCCGGGGCCGGGGGGGCCCGCGCAAAACTTTTTTGGCCCCGTTTTGGGGCCGCGGCTCGTGATTGCGCCGGGGCCGTGGCGGCGGCAGGCAGCTCCTCCCGGAGCCCCGCGCTCCGAACGCGCGGGCACAGGGAGGCAGCGGGGGTGGTCCCGGGCTGTGCCCGCCGCGGATGAGGTGTTGGTGCCTCGCCGCKSGTGTTTCTGCCCCGCCGCTTCCCAWGGATGGGAAAAGCTGAGAGCGGGAAGGGCTGTACCCCGTGCGGGGTCGGCGGCCGGCGGGCGGGACGTGCCCGCAGTGCCCGGGAGGCTGCGGCGGGCAAGGCACGGCAGTCCCGGCATGGAAGTATTCCGAGCGGCACGCGTGTCTTGCGTTTTCCAGCGTGACCGTTTTCCTGGGGATGTGGTGGCCGACAGGGTGCTTACGTTCCTGTTGAGAAAGACAAAAGATTTCCCTCTCACAGGGAGAAAGTGAAAAAAACCCCAACCCCACAAAAACTAAAAGATGCCGAAAAAAAAGCAAGTCTCTCTTGCATCCAGCTTGCAGAAACGTGAATGAAACTCCACCGTGACCGGATTGAATGCACTTTTGTGCATCGTCGACCGGGGGAGGGAGAGACTTGACCGACTTCCCGGTAACTTTTTCAGTGCTCGGGARTAACATAGATGTTGCCCACGAGTGGAGGACTTGAATGTGACTCCTTCTCAAAATAAGAAAATGGTCTGCGTTCAAGATGTGACCAGGATGAGACAAGTTTCTGTTAGTGTTTATTATGTGCTTATGGATCTGTGGGGCTSTATGGTTCCTCTGATGTGGCAAAGCAAATGTATGGAGATGAGGGTTAATGGTGTTACTGGAGGTGGGGAAGTTATGCTACTAAGCAAAATAAGAGCTGATGTTTCTTAACAGAATACATATCAATTATACCAGCTGTTTGTAAAGCTTCTTCTSAAATGTTTCCTTGATCTTAAGGTCTAAAGTGTGCTTGGAAATTGAAGTTTGTCTTTCAGGGTAAGAATATGYATTGAAGTCATGGCTTCAGATGGTTTTTTAGGGCAAGCTGAAGGGTATTGCCAAGYAGAGCCTTTTGCTTTGTGTGGAACAGTAACTTTGCAGCATAAATGGGCTYAGGAACGTGGCTTATTGCAGGATGCGATTGCTGTTTGGTCTTGTGGATGTGTTTAATGCTTTTGTGTGTGTTATTATGTTAAACTGGTGCTGCTGCTCAGCCTCTTGGGTTTTCTTGGTTAATCCAAGTCCATGGGCCATCCCAGAACAACATCCACAGAGGGTTTTGCAGGAGTCAAACTGAATTCCTATCTGTGCACTGAGTCCGGTGCAGTGGGACTGACTGCTGGATAAAGCATCCTTCAGCATGAGAAGCATGTGCGTGTGGGAGAGGGAAGGAGGAGGGTACTCAGCTTCCTCGCTAGCAGCTGGTGGGCAGACCCTCCATCCTCCAGAATCTGCACTTTTTGGACAAGGGAATTGTTTTATCTTGAGGTGATGAGAGAGGAAGGACAGTGGACTGGCATTCAAGAGATGTTGGGGATGTTCTGTCTCATGTACCTCCTTATCTAATCCTCTGTGCTCGCACTTTGCATGCTGCTGTTGTGTTGCTGGGAGGGTGGCAGGGAGTTGGAAGAAATAGTTAATTATATGTTAGAGCAAGGCAAGACTGGGGAACGTTTGCCTTTCCAAGTTCCTTACAAAATATGATTAAGCTGAGCCGTGAGTGGCATGCATCGTTTTGGAGGGAGAATTAAAGGAAGAGGGGAAGGAAAAGGAAAGGAATGAAACCAAAAGCGAGTCAGTTTAAGTTAAAACGATGATAACATTCCTGAGTCACARCCTTTTACATCCTGGCAGGATATGACATTATGTTAATTGTAAAAGTATGCATAAAAAATAACTTCAGCAAACTGCTCTGAAGTGTCTGTGTTTAATTGTAGCGAGCAGGGCGTGTTTTGGTAGGATGGGCAGCTTTCTTTTTAAGGCCCTGATCCCACAGATGTGAARGCACATGTATAATGTGCTGCCTGTAATTTCGTTTGACTTAATGAAGACTGATCTCGGCATGCAAATGTAAAGCATGCATAAGCAAAGTTTTGGCARGATTGGTGCCGGGAACTGCTGTGGGAGCTCTCAGCTGATGAAAGCCATGCCTGTGCTTAAACATGCGCCAGGCTGGGAGGATGCTGTGGTCATCTGGGCTCAGTGTGAGATAAGCCACTTCCAGTCTGGAAACTGTTGAGATGTGTGAGATAGTGGATACTTTTCTTCCTCTTGGGTTAATTCCCAGCATCCTGACCAATATGTGATGGTTTCTTAGAGTGTGGAAGAAGGCTCTGGCCTGCCTACCCTTCTATTTATGTTTATGTGTTTACAGAACCAGAGCTTGGTTGTGTTAAAGGAGTGGGATTCATGTTTACTCATATGTGCACATTGGTGTACACCCTCTCCAAGTCCAATAAAAATGGAGGGAAAATGAAGCTGGAATGCGGATTTTACATGGGAACCATAGAAAACATTATCTGAGAGGTTAAAACAGCACAGTGTATTCTTCAATYTGTTTTAAAAATACTTGATAATGAGAGACTGCTGGTTTCCATGGAGGGGAGGAAGGAGAGGGAGATGGGAAGGGCTGAAGCTGCTGTGCTTTGTCTTTGAGCAAATTTGCTGACACCCACTCGGGTCAGCAAAAGCTGGGGCAGCATCTTTGGAGAGCCACATCCATGGGTGCTGGTGGGTGCTGCAGGGCCACCATGACCACTGGCTGGGGACAGAGATGAGCACCAGGAAAGGGGATGCCCCATATTTCTGCTTTGTGGGGCTGCAGATCTCCTCATGGTGAATGTGGTGATGCTGTGGGTGTAGATGGCACTGCTGGTGCTGCTGAGGTGGTCAGGGCATGGGGTTTGGCTTCCTTGCCTGCTTCTAGCTGCCGAATGAGGCTTTTGGGACTGGCCTGGCTCAGCTGCCTGCACCAAGGAAGTAGCCCTGGGTGGTGCACGCAGGACTGTATTTTAGTTTGTGACCTTTTTGTTTCCWTTATTCACCTCAGTGCCTTGTTTGCAGTAGGAAATTCTTTCAGACAATTCTTGCTGCTCCTGTTGACGTTAACAATGGTGGGAACCTGCCTCCTCCTTGCTTCTATTTCAGCACAGCCTCAGTCGTGAGGCAGGTTGTGTGTCCAGCCCACTACACTCAGCACCTCTAGCTTTTACAGTGACTGAGCTGAGCTGGAGTCAGGATCTGGTAGTGGTACTTGGAAAGGCCTTACTTTGTGTAGATGAGATGAGGGGAAAGCAATTTTAGTGCCTAAGTAAGGTCCCAGAAATAATGATGGGGATTGATTAAGTAAACAGTATGAATGTGAGGAAYAAAATATTTACTCAGAACTGAGGCRTGTTTTACATATCCCCTTCCCACCCCTGCAGCCCCTCARAGAGGGAGAGCTTTCCTGGCTGGATGTCTGCTCCAAAGCCATCTGACTGAGGGTTGTTGCTTCTCTTGTGCCTTTTCTGTGTCTCTTTTTAGAGATGATTCTGAGAGCATGGGCATGAGGCTGCTCAGTGCCTGCTTGGCAGGAGAGATGCCAAGGGGACGGGGTCTTCTGTTGGTTTGGCAATGCTGCAGCCTCATCCAACCTTGCCCTTGGCATGGTTTGGCACTCGGCTTCAGTCCTGTGAGCTACAGGGKCTCTTCCAGGAAAAGAAGCAGCTTCAGCATAGAACAGTTGGATGCAACCAGGTGATGTAAAAATAAACAAAAAAAGCCTCCCARTAGTACTCAAAGCTTTTTTTAGGTACGCTGTGTAGCTGCCTTCGCTTCCAGCTCTGTGAGCAGCTCTCCAGCCTACTGGAGTAAGTGATGCGTAATAATGGTTCAGACAAACACCACGGCACGGGGAGAGTTCAGYRCTGCTRCTGCTGCTGSWGGAGGCTCCAGAGCACAGACACACAACCAACTTCAGGCTCTTGCTCTCTTAGCTAACAGCATTATTAACAAAAATTTACCCCAAATCTTTTTCTTTCTCTGTAGACTGTAAGTGCTTGTTTACATCTACTATGCAATGGGAATAAGAGATGCTCCTTCCTGGCTGGTTCATCCCATCTAGACGCCTTTCCCCATCCTCTGCACCATGGTGTTTGGCTTAAGCACGTGTGGGCCAGGATTTGTGTTGCCAGAACTGTTTTCACTCACAGCTCAGGCACGTGTGATGAATGTGGGTGTGGGCAATGTCCACTTGGCCGTGCATGAGGTGCTGAAGRAAGAGCCACTAGAAGGAAGAACAGCTCCCTATGGTTTTCTTTTAGCAGGACCCAGGCCTTCTGGAAGATTTCTCCCTCTATGGAGTGCTCTGCTCATCCCATGCCAGTGGTTCTCTGCTGGCACGAGCTGTAGTCCAAAGGYCATTACTGCCTTCCCTGATAGTACAGTCGTTTTGCTGAGCTCTGTGATCTATGAGTCTTGAGCTATCTTTGGGACTCCCTACTTAAAAATACAGGCTGTGCCTRTGTTTCTGGCGACATAGTCTTAGGATCTGATTTTGCAATTAGAGCTCTTGAAGTATCTGAAAATAGGAAGAAGCTGCACCTTTTCTTGCAGGCTTAAGATTTTTGTTTTCTGTAGTAGCATTGCACGTAAGGTGCTGTCAAAGAGCAGATTGCCACTGTTTTGGGGAGTTGGTGCTTTCTTCCATCTTAGCTTATAGCTTCTTTAGATCTTTCTAATGTCTAATTGGATTTTCTSTTT